GGTTTTGTGTGTGAAAAATATACAAGTTAAGGGGGAAAAATTAAAGTAGGAAAGTAGTAGGCTACTGCAGTTTGTGGACACTTTCACAGAATTTTCTTTTTGCATTTTTTTTTAAATTTGAATCAACAGATTTATGCAGTGTTTTTTGAAGGAGGTTGAATGGATCTAGATCATAATGTTTACTATTCTGTTCTTTTCTGGTGTCAGTTAAATTAACGGACTTGGTTTAAACTAGGCAGCTATTACACCACATCTTTGTTTGAAAACTTGCCTAAATATTTTTTGGGTATTGCTCTTATTTTCAGTGTAAAAATAGTCACTAGTGTCATTATATTTTATGTCAAAAACATGTTCTCGGCAAATGTTATGGTTTAAGAGTGTGGATTTTCTTTTTTAGGAGGACTTGTGTTAAATCTAAAAAAGCAAATTTTTTTCCTGAGGAATACTTGTGGATTCTACAACCTCACACAGGGGTGTCCAAGTCTTGTCCAGGAGAGCTACCATTGTGCAACTTTCAGATGGACCCTATTTCAATACCGCCTGAAGCTAATTTCTGAATTTACACAACAGCAGACATTCAGCTCAACAGAGGCGTTGTAATGAGCAGTTCATTTGATTCAGATGTATTGGAGATGGGATGCATCTGAAAGTTGCAAGATGATGGCTCTCCAGAACTGGATCTAGCAGGTCGCTGAAATGTTATATCCCTTATGAAGTTTCAAAAGATTTGTGTAGCATGTTTAATGAATAATATTTTGTGAAAAACCTGTAAGTTTGTGATGCTTTCACAATAAAATTTAAAATGTTCCATTTGTGTAGATTTCTTATTTTAACCAAGTGGAATTTCTGAGTAGCATGAATGTATTTTACTCCTATTTTAAAAACTAAAATAACATGCTAAAAAAAACTTTTAAAATGATTTAAATGCAAGCTATATTTTAAGTAAAATGTGAGTGATAATTTAATATGGGGTAGTTTAGTTTTTTAAGTTGGAACAACTTAAAATTTTGAGTTGACTTGCTCTAAAATTAAGTAAGATGGATTAAATTTTTTTATTTGGAATAAAGTAAATGAATTGATTAAGACTGACTTAAATTTGTCAAGTTAACCAAACTTAATAAATTAGGTTGGATAAAATTAATTGAATTACTTGTTACCAATTGAAGCAATTCAATTAAGTTGGATCAACTATTTTGTTTTTAGAGTGTATGCAACCGGTGTTGATTTTCCAGCGAGGCTCCCCCCAGAGGGCAAAAGTAAAAGTGCACTGTTGTAAATATGCTCATGTGTTCTCCTGGTTTCTCCGTCAAGCCAGGCGCGGTTGTTTTGAGCTTAGCAGACAGGCGAACACAACGAATCACCATGTCTACTGCGGTGACTGTTACTTTTCCTCTTTCTTGCCTGCTCCGACATGGGCTTTCGCTGTTTTCTCGCTGGTTCCGCCATGATAACTGCACAAATATCGCCACTGCGCTAGCAACGAGCATGCCTTTCACTGGGGGCGTGTAGCAGTTCTCGCCGTAAAGCAAGTCCGACTCTCGCGATACACGAGGCTTCTGAGTCTGTGGGTGCGGGCCGAGGGCTCCTGTAATTGCAAGTACGGTATTTCCCCTACAGACCACCAGGGCGGCCGAGAAAACCTTTGTTTGACCTGAAATGACTCATTTAATCATCCAAAACGTTATGGAACACATTAATTAACTGAAAAATGTTGCATAGTATGCCTTAAAAACTCTGCATTGACTAAATTAACTTTTAGCTCAAATCAGTGAGCGAAAGCTATTCTCTTGGATCAATGGGATATTTTTCTTTTCTGTTCAACACCACAAAAGCAGCATATTGTCCAGAATTAAAGCTATTGGTGTCTAGGAGTCTCTAAATACTGCTCGACATCAATAGAACTAACAATCATCCAAAACTTTAAAATACAGTAAGAGTTGGCAGACAGGAACGTAACAGGACCAGGAATGTAGAGCCATGCCAGTTAGACTTAACAACAAAAAAACTGTGTAGGGAATATTTGGCTAAACTGCACTTCCCCATGACGATGAATGACTATACGTGATTTGATTTTGTTTATATCCTGGAAGCACTTATGCCCCAAAACCAGCCTGTTTTGCCCCTAATGTTTAACTGTTTGGGAACCCTCTTAAATCACAGCGAAGATACTCAACTGCAATTGATTTCCTGCTGCCTTTTTTCTATCTTTTATTATTTTCTAGATGCTGGCTGAAGGAGGCGGAATAAGGGAATGGCTTAACAGGATGAAAATATAGTTCATTTTGTTGCTGTTTTACTGTCGTACATGCCAAAGGATTCGATAAACAGTAAAGAATAAAAAACAGATCAAAAGAGCTGTTTGTTTAAGCTGAATTTATATATATATATATATATATATATATATATATATATATATATATAGAGAGAGAGAGAGAGAGATATTGTTTAGCATATATATATATATATATATATGTATGTGTATATATTAGTGCTGTCAAAATTATCGCGTTATTAACGCGTTAACGCGAGGCCATTTTAACGGCGATAATTTTTTTAACGTGAGATTAACGCTATGTGGTTTTATGGTACAATTTTCCAAGTACATCCCGCTGCAGCCTGCGGGAAGGCGGGGCTATTTTCCCCCAGTCTATGCATTTCTCATAGGCTTCGAGAGCGGAGCTCCTCAAGGGAAAAAGACGCTCATACACTGGGTGACGCTAGTGCCTTTTCTTTAAGCCCCACCACCAACAAACAAATTGAGTGTCTGGTAGCAACCTGAAATACGCTGAGAAAACAGATTACTGAGGTGAAATGGAATCTGCTACGGCACTCTTGCCGTCTGTGTACGCCACAGGTCAGTATCGCGTGTGTGTGTGTGTGGGTGGGTGGGTGTGTGTTCTCATTTTTGTTAAGAGGCTGAAAAGTAACTTTCTAGAGCATAGACTACCTCCATCTAGTGATGTCGGTCTATTGATTTTGATGTATTGATTAAAAATTGTTCATTATTACCTTGGTTAATTAACATCTAATGTTAACTCTACTGCATTTTATAGCAGTAGGGTAAAATGCTTGTCTTTGTTCAAAAGACTGTATTAACTGTAAAGATTGTCTTTTACATCAGCCTGTTTTCAGGGCCTTTTTTTTGCCTACATATTTGTTATTTTTTGCTACATGCCTCCCCATCTTCTTGCCATATGTTTCCATGGCATAAACAGTATCTGTGACCTGTTCTCATTTAAAAAAAAGAACATTGGCACAAACCTAGCCTGTATGTATTTTTTTGTATGTCATCGATAGTATTTAAATGATTTTCAATCAGGAAAAAAATGTGCGATTAAAATGCGATTAATCACGAGTTAACTTAGGCATTGATGCGATTAATCGCGATTAAAGAAATTTAATCGATTGACAGCACTAGTATATATATATATATCTATATATATATATACACTATATTGCCAAAAGTATTTGCTCACCCATCCAAATTATTGGAATCAGGTGTTCCAATCACTTCCATGGCCACAGGTGTATAAATTCAAGCACCTAGGCATGCAGACTGTTTTTACAAACATTTGTGAAAGAATGGGTCGCTCTCAGGAGCTCAGTGAATTCCAGCGTGGAACTGTGATAGGATGCCACCTGTGCAACAAATCCAGTCGTGAAATTTCCTCGCTCCTAAATATTCCACAGTCAACTGTCAGCTGTATTATAAGAAAATGGAAGTGTTTGGGAACGACAGCAACTCAGCCACGAAGTGGTAGGCCACGTAAACTGACGGAGCGGGGTCAGCGGATGCTGACGCGCATAGTGCGAAGAGGTCGCCAACTTTCTGCAGAGTCAATCACTACAGACCTCCAAACTTCATGTGGCCTTCAGATTAGCTCAAGAACAGTGCGCAGAGAGCTTCATGGAATGGGTTTCCATGGTCGAGCAGCTGCATCCAAGCCATACATCACCAAGTGCAATGCAAAGCGTCGGATGCGGTGGTGTAAAGCACGCCGCCACTGGACTCTAGAGCAGTGGAGACGCGTTCTCTGGAGTGACGAATCGCGCTTCTCCATCTGGCAATCTGATGGACGGGTCTGGGTTTGGCGGTTGCCAGGAGAACGGTACTTGTCTGACTGCATTGTGCCAAGTGTAAAGTTTGGTGGAGGGGGGATTATGGTGTGGGGTTGTTTTTCAGGAGCTGGGCTTGGCCCCTTAGTTCCAGTGAAAGGAACTCTGAATGCTTCAGCATACCAAGACATTTTGGACAATTCCATGCTCCCAACTTTGTGGGAACAGTTTGGAGCTGGCCCCTTCCTCTTCCAACATGACTGTGCACCAGTGCACAAAGCAAGGTCCATAAAGACATGGATGACAGAGTCTGGTGTGGATGAACTTGACTGGCCTGCACAGAGTCCTGACCTCAACCCGATAGAACACCTTTGGGATGAATTAGAGCGGAGACTGAGAGCCAGGCCTTCTCGTCCAACATCAGTGTGCGACCTCACAAATGCGCTTCTGGAAGAATGGTCAAAAATTCCCATAAACACACTCCTAAACCTTGTGGACAGCCTTCCCAGAAGAGTTGAAGCTGTTCTAGCTGCAAAGGGTGGACCGACGTCATATTGAACCCTATGGATTAGGAACGGGATGTCACTTAAGCTCATATGTGAGTCAAGGCAGGTGAGCAAATACTTTTGGCAATATAGTGTAACTGAGACTGCGCCTTTTAGTACGGTGCGCCTTATGGTCGTGAAAATACGGTAACTTGTTTGGCATATTGGTAAACAAGAAATGAAGTTGATGTGCTCTGCTGAACAGCAAATTCACCATTTCTGGATTTATGCAGGATACAGCCACGTTAAATTTACATTTCTGACACCAAATCTGCCCCATTTTTTAAAACAGATGTTCACATTTAGAAAAGCTAGTCCATAAATCATTTAAGAAGGTAAAAACAACTGACATTGAATTTGTCCATTTGCTTGAATGGGATGACATGCAACTTTAAACCTTTAAAAACTTACACAGTATTTCTTAATAAGGTCTTTTGTATCCTCTCCAAGAAAGGTGATGAGCCCTTTCAGAACACATTCCCTTCGAATCCCAATGTCTTCAACCTGGAGAAAAGTTATTGTTATCAATATTTCATATCTGAAGAGATTCATGATATAACTAATATATTTGGGCTGTTCACAACAGCAAAGGCCTATCAGATGCCATAATGTACAGCCCACAAGTCCACTGGGTTTTAATGCTGCACTTCAAAATTATTCATATTCCACCTCTGCCACATTTTATCCTTCACATCTAAATTTGTGAAACTAGACTATATTGTTAAGGTTAAGGCTTTTTCTTAGCACAATCTACCAGAGCTAGTGAATATCATTTTCCATTAAAGAGATCTCTTACAGCATAGAATTGATACAAGTCTAACATTTAAAAATGTTAAAATTTTAAAGTAATAGAAGCTCAAAAATTTGGCTAAATTTCACCGGTTTCTGGCAAGTTGGATAGAAAGGTGTATTTTATTGAATTAATGAATAAACCACAATACAAACTTACTATAACAACTAAATGCAGCAGAAATACATGACAGGCAAACTTGCTTTTCTTCAAATGATATCAACTTTGCACAGAAAGTGTATCAAGTATTATAATTAAAACAAAGTCTGAAAGTAACTAATCACTTTAAATTCTTTGTTTTAAATGGAAAAAGGTAAATGGCCATAGCTTAGTTCACTGTGTCCATATTGATGATATCCATACCTCATCATAAGTTCTCATGATGCCAGCCATTTTTGCACATGTTGCTCCTCCTTTAGCCTGGATGACTTTAATCAGCTGATTTGAGTGCCTGTCCAACTGGGCCAAGAACGTCTGCTCAAGGGGAACAGCCATGAGCCTCTGGAACTCCGCATTAATCTGTGAAACAAAACAAAAAAACTTACTGTTAAAAAAATGACTTAAAGTAAATACTCAATCATTCCCAAAGTCTAAGTTCAAAACCCTTGACATTTAATTTCAATCTCCAATACTACCTCTTTCTGTTGGAACAGAGCAGGCCATCTGTCCTTGAAATCCCCTATACCAGGTTCTTCATTCACCACCTCCTGACGCCTGTAGGCAAAGGTACGAGCCATTTTCTCCGCAATGACCCTGTCATTGTTCCTCCTTTTGATTGCTGCCAAGAGTTCAATTCTCTCTTTTTCCATGCTTTCTTGTGTTTCTCCCAATGGAAAGGATGGATAAAAGTTTGCTTCAGCTCGTCTTGGCTTCTTTATTTTTGCAGCAGGAGAAACAGAAATACTAGCTTTGGATTTAAGAGAGTTTACAGACAACTCTGGACATCCTTGTGATTTGAGTAGAGTCCTGTGGTTTCCCATTTTGTACTTCAGCCTTTGCTTCCAACCGTAGCAACCATTGAATGAACCGGGCTCTTTTAAACACGGATGTTTTTTTAACCAAGGCCTCTGCAACTACACAGAACTGTGCATCCTCTGGGTAGGCTCTGTATCTGTAGATCTCCTCTACTAATCTATTTAGGATGTCACTCGGGAGGTGACTGTCAACATTTTGTTGTTTGCTTGATACTCAGAATTCCCCTTCTCTAGCTGACGTTCAGTGTCATATGAAAATATGGGAATGGGAAAATTGGCTGGCCATTGTTGTGTTCGCGATGACAAGGATTCAGGGGAGGAGAGGATTATAGTGTCATTTGAGGCTAAAGAACTGCTGTCGTCAGAGTGAACTGTAGAACAAGATGGAGCTGTTTCAATGACATCAACAAAAGTTTGAATGGCTTTTTCTTGAATCACCTTGACTGTTCCCAAGTCCTCCAGGTCAGAAGTTGAGCTGAGGTTGAAGAAGTCATTACCAAACTCTTTGTCCATATATTGCAATCTGACATTGGTCTTTAAACCAAAGGTATCCTTCACCTTGCTGAGAAGCTCATCCAGAGAGTCTGGTATGCCATCTGGAAGAGTCAGTTTTTCAGTGTTGCTCTCTCCTAGAATCACCTTCAGTCTTGCAGGTTTTGAACTTGCCATGACAATCTGAGAAAAGGGTACATACAGAGTTAGGCAATGCTGGTCCCTATTTAAAGTCATTACAAGATATTTTGTATACATTATTAGTCAAATGTTTGGACATTTGCTTGTAGAGGGCCAAAAAAATATTAAGGTAGTTATTAAAATATTACTGTATTTTAAGTTCAGCCATACAAACAGAAAAGTCTTTTATACCACGCATTTAATTTTTTGTACAATCTTGTATTACCTCACCCTTAAACGTGGATATATCTTTTCACAGTAACAAGACGTATTCCTCTAATTCTGTAGTCTTCCAGCGGGTATACATCTGTTAGGTCTTGTAGCTCAACCAGTTTCAGTTCTTTGTCTGATGTTTTCAGCTCATAAGATCTGTAATGCTCAACATACCACCCCTCAAGTTTTCTGACCAGAAAGAATAACTGGTTTGCCAGGATCACCATTTGGATTATTTCAATGAACTCTGGTAATCCTCCCAATGAGCCATGGATCAAGATCATCCCGCATCTGTACTTCAGTCCATTAAATGTTGCACTTTTAGTCATGCACACTGTGGCCAGATTTGAAAACTTCTGCTTTAGAGCATTTACTATTCCCTTGTCGAGAACATCAGTTGCTACTGTGGAAACATTTGTAACTTCCAAAAGAGGTTTAGGAAAACCAGATAAATGCATATGATGTGCCATCTGATTAGGGCTGGGTATTGTTAAAAAAATTTCGGTTCCGGTACCAATACCGATACCTTCACTTCGATACCGGTTCCTGAACGATACTTTTTTCGATACCAGTTTTATAATATCAATTCGAAAAAAAAGAAAATTACACAACATAAAAAAGTACAAATCTTGAGTTTTATTTTAAGCTCTGTTTTTCCATTTACATTTTTCCTCTTACATAAAAAAATAAATAATTCAGTGTCTAATATTCACTGTTACATTGTGAGGACCTTTTTACTTAGCAGTTTTCCTTTAGAAAAATTACCATGTCTGACAAACAAGCCCGTTGAATGGGATCCTACTGACAGCGCACCGCTGGTATGGGGGGGGGGTCTGAGCGGCTCCGACAGAAATATTGAAGGCAGGATGAACTGACTGCACTGATTACGTTTTCAGGTGGATTTTCCCACTTAAAAACATAATAAAACTACTTTATTCCCACTGATCACAGCAAATATAGCTGCAAGGCAAATAAAGGATAGAGTAGCTCCGCCCAACGCGCGTCTGACCCACTTTGCGACCGCGCAGCCAGAGCAGCAAAGCTTCTTCAGCAGCGCGTCAGAAGCTGGTACAAGCAGCAAAAATGAAGCAGCAGACGAGATTTTGCTGCTCTTGCTGCGTCCAGTTTGAAAGCAGCATGATTCACTCCGCTCTGGCTTTGCTCTGCCCACGGGCTGCTGAGAGGAGGATGGTCGCGCTGGCTGCGGTCCGCTCTTCTTGCAGTCAAACACAGAGCGACTTTCTGCTCTTAAATTATTTCCGTGCACGATGTATTGCATTGTGCACTATTAGCATCAGTCTTAATAAAGTGAAGCCGCACTTTTGACCTGGGGGGCATTTTAAAGGGGTTCCGCGACGCTGCAACCAGTTCACAAAAGATACACATGAACCCTGGCTGTAGGCGTGACCACCTGTGTATTTTTCCTGGATGACGCAATCACCTTAAGTGTTCCAGCCAATCACCGAAACTTGGTACCGAAAGACGAGGCATGTTTCGATACTCTGTAGAACCGAAGCATTTCGGTCGGTACCATAAAAGTACCGAAGTTCGGTACCCAGCCCTACATCTGATACTGGTGTCTCTCTGCAAGGGAACGGAGGACATTTTTAAAGCACTTGATATTTCGTGCAACTCTTTTAAAAAAGCTATGCTTAGCTTCAAAGCGCATGGACCATAAGGCTACTAAAGGACCAAATTGGCGAATCAAGGTAATGTTCCAAGAAATGGTGTTTTGGTTTAAGGTCACAATTAGGAAAAACCTCCTGGAATTGTGTTCTGTGCTCTGAGATCTTAAAGTCAAGGTAAGCAATAGAGTCCTCTGTGTGAATAGGACAGACCACAAGATCAACAATGTCCCTTAAGTCTGTTAAGATCTGCCAAGCTGGCTCTTCATGTTGCACTCTGTGTCCAATCAACAAAGGTAAAAATCTGATCAAACTCCAGTTCTCATGTGCATTACCCCCAACACTTTTTTTGGCTTCAAAATTGAGAGCAATTGGATGAGGTCGATTAGTTTTATCAGTCCCCTTAAAATTGAAAGATGCTATTGCGTCATTCAGTGATACCAATGTGAAATATTTTTTCTTAATCAAAACACCCAGACACAAAGCTAGTTCAAAAGGAACAACTCCTTCAAAAAGGTCATGCACAATGTCTGGAGGAAGACCTGTGGTAATGTCAAAATACAATAAATGTGATAAAATGGAAGTTGATTTGACACCCTGATAACTTGGCAATTCACGTTCCTGAAGAATTAATAAGTGATCTGCATGAATGCTTTTGGTACTCAGGGTAAATGCACCACTTCTAACCTCTGTAGTTTGAATGTCTGTTTTAACTGCCAAACAAAACCTACATATGTATGACCCTGTGAAGTTCTCTACAAAGCCACCAATACTGTGGGCAGCAAGATTATCTGCAACCACGCACTGAACTGTGCCTTTTACAGCTCTACCCAACTTTGACACAAAGACCCCTTCTTGTTCCAAAATCACAAGCTCATTAAGTAAAGGTTCTAAAACCTTCTCGTAACCATAGCACTTCAAATCATTAGTTTTGATCAAAGCAGCCAGGTAAATGGAAGACAAGTTAGAATTGCACCCCTGTGGCAAATTACCAAGAATCCAGTATAAGCCACAAATTTTATGCTTCCGTTTAGATGTACCGAGAGGGTTGCATATTTCAAAATCATCAATATACAATATTAATGAAATGCTCTCCTCCTTACACAAAAGCTCATTTTCACTAAAAAATGACCCGTCATAGAAAGACCTATATGTATGAACACTACTTCTTTGTAGTAGTTTATTCACACAATTTAAATTATCAGTCTGATCCAAGATAACCTCACAGTCAAGAACTTGCCGCAAAGACTTTAGGATTGATACATACTGGAATGACTTATTATTTTTTTTATCAAGAATATATTCTTCAGGTTCTATCACTTTAAAATGTCTTTTATAGAATTGTTTTCGTCTCCAAGCACTAGAAAGGGAGCCTTTATCTCCTATTGCTTTATTTACAGGGTTTGTTTCACAGAGGGCCCTGGCAAGTTTTTCAATAACTGACTGGTCAAACTGGCAAAGATGATCATGTAGTATTTGGGTTACAGTTCTGCATGTAACTGGCAGGGACAAAGAACCAATTAAATAGTTTAACTCCTGCAATAGTTCATCAATAGCTGCATTTGACACAAGAAAACTGCTTTCTAACTTTAGAAGAACTGATGCAAGTTTAAGTTCAATATCTCTCTGTAAGTTTTCAGAATCAGTCTCATTAAATATGTGATCTTGATTAGCTTGTGCAGTACTGTCTTGATCAAAAATATCAGTACCAGAACTAACACACAATTCTTCACCACAGTCTAATTGTTTTTTTTTCAGTAATCCCAGTCTTAAATGTATTGCTAATGTCAGAATGTTTTCTGTATTTATGACTTTTGTAGTTCTCGTAAATATTTGTTTGATAAACACAGTCCTGAAACACACACGTGACAGTTTCCTTGTTCTTGAGATGTTGAAATATATGTTGAAAAAAATCTCTCTCAGTGGAAAGTTGATTAAAATCACAAATGGGGCATTTGAATCTGGTTAAGTCTTTGGTAACTGTTTGTTTGACTGGATGATTTCTTGATAAATGGCTCAGTAAAGCATTCCAGGTCTTGAATCTACATGCGCAACTTAAATATGAGCATGGATACGAATAACCCCGTCCATAATGCCTGTGGTCTAGTTTGTAGTGCTTGAGCAATTCAGATCTTCTGGAAAACACCCTCTTGCAGTCTTTGCATCTCCACATTAAGTGCAACACTAGAAGGACAAGAGAGGAACTTTGTTACCTATATGTTGCCAAATCTGAAGACAAGGAAGATGAAACTAATATGGAGGCAAGAGTCAATTTTGAATACTGTGACAACCCTAGCCCCATGCAATACTTTAGATGATTGTTTTACTGCTTGGTAAAATATAGATTCAGAATGGATTTGTTACCATAACTATTTCACTGTTTTCAATACCATACTGAAAACACTCTATATTAATCAATGTCATATTGTTAGTATTGCAAGAATTTTTTTTTTTATGCACAAATACACATTTCTTAAATTGCCCTTCTCAGTTGCACATTCCTTAGGATGGGAGTAAGCTTTTTTTAATGACTCCACAGTATTTTTAGGTTGTAATTTTAAATTTTTTGTGTGCATATATATCCACAAATATATATGCATGTCTGTTTGTGTGAATAAATTGCCTGTCACTTTCTACTGTTGCACTGGAAATTTCCCACTGAAGGACAATAAATGTCATTTCTATTCTTATTTTATATCTGTCCACTATTTAGTGTTAAAAATTACAGTAACTTTAGATATTGGTGGGAAAAAATGCTTATTTGACTATTATCAGTTCTCCACTGCAAGGGCAGCTTCCCTCTCCCCAGCCACCTCCCCACTTGTGTGAATCCTGAAGACTTTGCAGTTTAGAGCAGACATATTTCATATTATCAAAATAGCATATTCATTTTGCATTTAACTTTTTTTTCTAAAATTAGAAGCTTACATAAATCCTTTATGAAGAAAATATGGCTCACCTTATATGGTTTGATGATTCTTGGTTCTAGGCCTGGAAAGAGAAGTGGGTAAAAGAAGTTAATACAACAGGGTTCTAGCCAGAACTGCTAATGTTAATGCCTGAAATTTTCATTTGATCTTAATTTTTTTTCTTTCTTTCTGTAGCCGGTGAAATCAAGGGCGCGGACGACCATAGGGAGATCAAACATGCACATTGTGAACTGTCCGTGCGCTGTGGTAGATTGCAAATTGCAGAGAAATAATACAGGGCAAGAAGCGATCTAGCCGGGGCAGTTTGTGGGGCAGGCTACTAAATGCAGAGCTCCGAAAGTGAAGCTGTGAAATCCTCAGCCCAGCCCGAGGGCGTCTAAGCCCCGCCCAGTGCCTGGCGATTAACGGCTAGCTAGAACACTGCGCAATGTTCCTACAGCCACAAATTGCTTTTATAGGAGAAATGACACCCGATGGATTCTTAGCGCTGTCAGGATATTATGCGTTTTATATTATGTCGCCAGTAAGCAGCATGAGAAAACTGGAAAAAATGGCTTCACCGGCTGCAGCTAACAGTGATTAGCACAGTGGAGTTGCATCATATTAAATTAGTTTTGCACAGAACACCCCCACCTCTGCAATTTCAAGTTAGGTTTTTTAGCGTAAAAGTACACATACAAAATAAACATTCAGTCTGACTCAAAGTAGTTATGTTAAAACATGTTGAGATTTGAACCGCCGAACAGCGCGGCTAATTACAAATAACTGATGACACTTCGACGTTAAACACAGTTCAATGTTTCAAATTTAAGGTAGAAAAAGTTTTAAATATTTTTACACCGTTTATTTAATGTTTGGTTATGGTGGGGCAGCATACTTACTTTTTATCTGAATCTCGTCGACAGTCGATGCTCAGAAGAAATGGCGGTCGGTACCAGAGATGCAGGATCTGCCCCGGGCGGAGCTTACGTAATGACGTCAGACGTAAAGCTGCATTAAACTTAATTGTTTCACTTCGACTCAAATTAAAAAGTTCGTTTGAGATAAAATGCGTGACTGTTAAGTTAATTGAACTCATGAAAGCAAGTTGTCATAACTAAAGTAAAAGAATTAAGTCAGGTTAATGTAAATAAGTCCATAACATGAACTACAGCCCAAATACACTTTTTAGAGTGTAGTATACCTTTAATTGACCAATGTTTGCCCTTTCCATGCCAACTATTAAATTTTAAAACTTTGTCAAGTTCAAAAAGAGTTCTTGCAATGACCATATGTTTAAAACTAATGTAAATAAAAAATTCATAAGTATAATTTTAAATAAATGAGTTTATTTCAAATTAATTTAGAAAAATCTGACTCTGCCTCTCTTTGCATACTTTTACATTTACTTATGCACCTTTTTATGCTTAATTTGTATGTTGAGTTTTAAATACCTTTAGATTTATTGAATATTATTTCCAAAACTAATCCATAGTACACACTAAATCTGTATTATTTAAATATTCTCAAAATTGCATTTTTTTATTTTTCATATTACTTCTCCAACAGAAGCTTCAACTTTATTTTACTATTTCTTTCTTCTCATTTCTGAGGCCTGATCAGTCTCCAGGGATGGGTTATGTTTTATTTTCATCTCCTACTTGATCTTTAAGCAATATTATTTACAGAAAAAATAGTTACATGTATGAGTTGGATCATTTGAATTTGATGATGTGTTTCCAGATCAAGGATATTTTACATAAATTACTTAATCCAGAATGTAACAGGTTGTTGTTTTCATTTTTTTTTTTTTATTATTTTGCTGAACTGCTATTATGAGCTTGTCACAGTTGGTGAATGTGATTTGTCAGAGCAGGATTCATAAAAGACATTTCCATGATAACCCCAGTTAACACTGATTCATTCAGGACAAGCTCTTCAAAACCCCAATTTCACATCGGGTTGCTAATAATGTGCATGGAGACACCTCAAGCTCAACTGTTAATACATGCAGCCTGGTCTCTCTGTTTGTGTGAAACCTTATTTTAACATTAGATGGCACGGCAGGATAATAAATAACTGCACACCCAGCTGCCGCTCTATGGCAGATGTGGCTCAGTGTTTCTGCAGCCCTTCTGCTGTTTGCTTCTTGCATCCTTTCCCTTTGCTGCTGATCTGCTCCCCTTTGAGCTTTGTTTCATGGGAACTTCTTCAAACTGAAGGACAGGATATTGACAAACCTGGACAGGATGCCAAGTTTCTTCTGGAGGACGGCTAATCTGTTGGCTCTGTGGAGAAGACATCATGCAGACCTTCTGGATACACAGTGTTTGGATCCCCTGCTTTGTGTTTCTCTTTGCATAAACTGATTAACTCATATATTTTATATTGAAAAAAGATTATCTTGCAGTGCATGTTTGTTTGGGTTCTGGAACACATGTTTGAAGTGGAAATTTGTAGTGTGTTGAATGTATTGACCTGGGTTTTCAACAGAATAGATAAAAAAATTAAAAGATGTGGGTGAAATATGCCAACAAATAAGCTATGAGTTGGATATATAGATAACCAGCTGCTCCTCTTTTTCTCTTATATCATCAGGGATCCTTAAATGTATATTTTAGTATCTTTCTGATGTTTGTTTGTGATGTTTGCTTAACAGACAGAAAACTATCTATTGGGCATTTTGCTTATTTCACATCTTTGCACAGGGAAGAATGCACCATAAAATCATTTTAAAACACGATACACATTCACCTGGGCCTTTTAAAGTCAACAACTCCCTTTGAAAATTAAACTGGATCTCTCTTGATTCACACCGCCTGACCTCGGATTCCCTTATGATCAGCTAGTGACGGCACTAATAGGGCAGATTCAGCTGCTCTCAGGAAGCTGACAGCTGGATCAATAAACTACTTTTGTCTACCTCTTGAGGATGGTAACAGGAAAAGATGAAGCTCTGAGCAAGCATAATGGATTTACTTTAAACTGCTGGGATGCTGCTAATCACCTTGGATTGCCTGGTGCACTACACTAAAGGGAGGAGAGGAGAGTTGGCTTTTAATTTCTGTTATACTATAGATAGCGTTAATTTCATGTCTATAAGTCCAAGTAAAATACTTCTTTTTTTTTACTGAAAGTAATCTTCACTTTTTTGGATACATTTTTTCCAACTCTTTCTCATTAAGGAATAGGGCTCGTGATCCGCGTTGCATTCTGGGACGTGGCGGCCATATTGAGGGCTACGCGAACATAAACATAGCTCTGATACAACGTTGTTGAAAGAAGAGACGTAGAAGTAGAGAGAAAAAAGATGTTAAAATCCCGAAAAGGATCTGGAATTTACCGGGAGGCGTTAAATAGAGAAGCCACGGACCGGTATTTTGACAAAATCAGCATTATTAATCATTTGGATCCATATGAAGTTCCAAACAATAAGTGGAGCACCGATGAGTGAGCGCCTATACTTCAAAACAGTTCTGAAGCTACAAGTCCTTGGAGTCTCATGTGCAGTTCATTAATGGATGGGTTCAGGAGCTGCAGATCATAAAGCCAGCAAACTGTGGGAACACAGTAATCCGTACGAAGGTAAGCTGTGATCAGACGGACTCTGGAACCTGCTAGTTTAGCAACTGCTAACCGCTAATGCTAACAACCACTCACGCATGTAATGTACTTTTAACTAGCTGCTATGTGTTTCAAAGGTGTAGTTAGTACGTTAACTGCCAACCCTCCCTAAAGCCTCCGGGTTTCTCACGTATTTGAGCCTTTTCCTGCTGCCCTTTTTATTATTTTCCCGTAAAAGATCCCAACCTTGAAGGAAAGAAACAATGTAGGCTATAAAATAAAACCGTTCATCTTTAACTTACCAGAATGAAAATGCAGGGAACACACTCTCATTGACATCGGGATACCGTGGAAAGTTATGTCGGTCGTCTTACAGCCGCGATCCAAGCTAGCCGACGACTCATTATCTCTGACACTTGGTCTCCATGGTTACGCCTCCAGGCAGGAAAGCGGTGGAAAGTTAACCCATTTTCTATGTTTTTCCCATGGCGATCATGTGTCGCGCTGTTACAGCCCACAATACAGCAACGGTTTACCATGGTTGAAATCAAGTTAAGGTGAAATTAATCAAATTAAAAGACGGCTGAGAGGGAGTACAGTATGCGGTAGTCATAGGCAGTAGTCTGAGCAGCGGTAAAAGAGGCCTTCAAGATGCCGGCTACGCAAAGTGCTTACGTCAAGACGACCAAGCCCTATTGAATTATTGTTTGTTGTTTTTCTTGCCGCTTCTGCGTGGGAAGATGCAGAATAGTGACCTTTGTTGGGTGTTAATGACGTTCAGGTCGGATCCGTTCACACACAGGTGGCATTTGAAAAGATCAGATTCATATCGGATCCAGGACCACATAGCCAAGTTGCCTGGGTCAGATTGGAAAAAATCGTTGTTGATTTTGCCATGACTGCCATGAAAAGATCAGATCCAGGTCGCATATGGGCAAAAAAATTTGAATTTATGTCACTTCAGGCCTCAGTGTGAACGTAGTCTTTGATATTGCTGTTAGGCATAAACAAACGTTTTGTTTATGTCTGCTCATCCCACCTTAAACTGGAATTCTATTTAAGCTCAAAAAGGATGCAACATTTTAACAAAGAATGCTTTATTCATATATCCTTGTTTTATCATGATCACTTGGTTTTAGGTGGGGGTTTTTTTGTACTTGCAAATAACAAGAATATGCACCTTTAGATAATTTGACTAGATGATATGAAAGCAATTTATAAACATTTGTCATATGGATGTTTGTAAGTTATAGTTTAGTATATTAGTCATTTAAGTTATTTTGTATCTTGTCTCTGAACAATGATTTTGTAGCTTTACTGTTTGAATGTGTTCTGTACAGCATTATGGTCCAATGGGAGGATTGGAAATGCAATCTACAGTGATTTTATAAGGCTTTTATATGTTTTTGTCTGTATTAAAGTTGGTACTTTAGATTCTCCATAATATGCCATTACCTTGTTTCATCTATGCTACACAGATGTCTTTCTGTGTTGGCTGGTCATGCACTTCATTGCTAAGGAAGCCTTTCAAATGATAAGAAGATGAAATCTGCAGCTTGGGTCTGTCACTCAAGGATTCTGTGACTTACTGGAGCTTCCTCCTTCTGAATCCTCTTGATCCTCCACAGAGCAGCAGCTCATCCCCACACAGACACTCTGGCTGTGGCTGTGTCACAGTCTCTGTGTGAGAGTGACTGTTGGCTCTGTGAGCTGTTTGGGAATGATTACTGTAGACAAAGAGTCTGCCTGATTCTGTATTCACTTTTGGGCAGTGTTTTCATGAAGGACTCACCCAAGAGTACGTTCTTAAAAATATACCATTTAGTTTACAATGGATGCAGCTGGAACATTAGAAATAAAACAAAATACGTATAAAAAAAATGGTTTTCAGTTCTACAAAGGTGCTTATAAGTTACTTCCTGCCATTAGGTTTTTGGTTGGAAACCCTGGGAACAGGAAAAAAGGGATTTATTTCCCTTAGGGGTAGGGCTTTAATGATGTCATCAATTGATCAACCAAAGGGGCTCAATGCTACGAAACTTGCTATCAGTGTATCAACCCTCCAGACCACTCAGGTCTTCTGGCTCCAGCCTGCTCTGCTTACCTAGAACCAGAAATAAACATGGAGAAGCAGCATTTAGTTCCTATGCTCCACTTATCTGGAACAAACTTCCAGAAAACTGTAAAAGTGCGGAAAGGCTGAGTTCCTTTAAATCAAGACTAAAAACACATTTGTTTAGGATTGCCTTCGACTGTTCTAGTTAAACAGTTCAACTTTTTATTTTCTTTAGTCCAACTGTCTTTTTTGTTTCTGCATTTTTTATTTATTTATTTATTTTCCTACTTGCTTTGATTCTGTTCTATTTTCCTATATTTTAATAATGTAAACCACTTTGCATTGTCTTTGTACTGAACTGTGGTATACAAACAAATTTGCCTTGCCTTGCCTAATCAAAAAAGGTTTTGAGGGTAACTTTGCTGTCTACTCAGATTTTATATCTTCCTCTGTTTCATATTTTTGTCAAACATCAATTATATATATATATTTATATATATTTATAAATATA